ACACACACACACACACACACACACACACACACACACACACACACACATAACCATAAACAAAACAAAAACAGGAGATAATATAATCAAGAAGGTAGTTTTCTCAGAGTGATGCTTACTTGTATTCTAGGTGTGTTGGGTCCAGTGATTTCCTAAAATGTAGGAACTTGACTGCATAATTGTGATAATGGGGGACCACATTCTTACTGTGGAGAGGGGACAACCAAGGGTGTCCTTTATTTTTTCAATGCTGATGACCTCACTGGGCTGCATCTGAGCTTAATCAGGGTTGTCTACTCAGATTCAGGATCCTGAACACTGTAGTCAGGGGTTTGTGGTACTCGTAAATGACATCTAGACCCAACCTGGAAAGCACCCCAAACTGAGACCCTGTGTGGAGTCTGCATGACTATTATACTCCTTTCCGTTATGTCATATTTTTATAATGAGGGCTTAGGAGCTAGACATACTCCTAACCCTAAGTCTTTCAACTTGAAAAAGGTGACAGTTCTCCATACCAACATCTCCCTTCTCTCTTTAAAGGAACTCTGCAACCTTCAAGTCATTTGAAGACCGAATGGGGACCATGAAGGTAACATTCTTGAATTGTATGTTTTCTTGAAGCACGGTTGTGATCTACTGTATCAACCTCTTTATTGTTGAGAATTCAGTTATTGCAGGAGCTCATGTAGAGGTCTTTTGTGCTTCATGTTGTTTCTGTAGTAATGACATCTTACAAAACTTGGCTGAAGTCTCTGGACACAAAGCAGCATGTTTTTGTTGTTATTGTTTTTGTTTTTTAATTTTTATTTTTAAGACAGGGTCGTATTGTGCAACAGCCCTGGCTGACTTGGAATTCACTATGCAGACCAGGCTCACCTTTAACTCAGTTCACTTGCCTTTGATCCTGAGTGCTAGGGTTATAGGTGTGCGCCACTGCACACAGCTAAGACAGCATGCTTATTCATCAGTGCCTCTGCAGTCATGCTCACCTTCCTTCTTTGCCCTGCCAACCCCTAGTCTGTACTTTATCTCTATCATTTTATCCTTTCAGTATGACTCAGTAAATTAAAACACTTGCAGCACAAGAGTGAGAACTCAAATTCAGTTTTCTCTCTCCTTTAACATTGATTTTTGGGGGAGGGTAAGTGTATCTGTAAGTGTGCCATTGCACACATGTGGAGGTCAGAAGAAAACTTGTCTCTCCTTCTACCATGTGGATCCTAGGGATCAAATTCAGGTGGTCAGGCTTGGTGGCAAGAACCTTTACCTGCTGAGCATTCTTGATGGCCCAAGGACTGGAATCTAGATCCCTAGCATGAAAATCTCAGGTAGGTGTGGTAGCCTGCCTGTGTTCTCACAGTGCTCTGGAGCTGAAGACAGGGTATCTCCAGGGCATGCTAGCTAGCTAGACCAGCCAAGAAACCCAGCTCTAGGTTTGGTGAGATAAACTGATTTAGTAAATCATGTGAAGAATGTTTAAGGAAAATATCTAATGTCAACCTCTTGTCTCTACATGCATTTTTTACATACCATGCACACATAAGCAGAATGTTTAATCCCAGCAGATGGGAGGCAGAGACAGGTAGATTTTTGTGTATTCTAGACCAGTCTGGTTTACATAGAGAGTTCCAGGGCATACAGGGATATATAATATACCCTGTCCCCATTTTTTTTAAATGTGTTTTGCCTGCAAGTATATATATGCACTGTTGTGTGTACCTGGTCCTTTAGGGGTCAGAGAAAGGCATTGGATCCCTTTAACTGGAGTTAAGAATAGCTGTGCGCCACTGTGTGGGTGCTGGGAACTGAACCTGGATCCTTTCCAAGAGCATCAAGTGCTTTTGATCAATGAGCCATCTTTTCAGTCCTCTCCCAGAAACGTGGTTTTTAATATACAAAATATAGTCACTGTGGTGGAACCATACAGTATGAGTGATTTTCTAAATACCACAATTCTTAGAGAACCTGTCCAGACTGTTTGTGTGTTGTTGACTCATTTCATTGTTAACTAGTGCTCATGTTGCATGAACCTGTGCAGAGCATGCTCCTGGACCTAGGCTGTTTCTTTTATGTCTTAGATTATTTTCTCTCTCTCTCTCTTTTTTTTTCTATAGTCTAAAGTTGTGGGTGGCAGAGAAAATGGCAGCGATAACCTCCCTTCCTCGCCTGGAAGTGGTGACCAGCCATTGCCGGATCATGCCCCTTTCTAAGCCTGTCATAGAATACAAGCCACAGAATACAGAAGCACACCCTCATCATCACAGCTGCAACTCTGCATGACAGAACCACCAGCCAGGGCCATTGAAGAGCTGGTTTTGAAGACAGTCATACCCATCTACATGCAGATGTGACTGCTGCCTTGGCATGAATTAGAGAACAATCTTGTGCATAAATGTTTTACACTAAAGTTCATAGATGAAGCAGATCACTGTGCCATCCTTTCCAGGGCCACAGGAAGTGGACAGGGTGGAGGGGTCTGAGGAATACTAAATAGGAGCCCGTGCTCCCTTTGAAGGTCTCACCAGAATGTTAAGGGAAGACATGTCGGGTATTAAGTGAAAAGAATTTCCTTGCCTGCCTCCTCCCTTAGCGCAGAAGAAATGCACTCACCTAGGTCATATTGCATGGTCAGTTTTTATACGGATTTGAAGAATGAGAGAGTTCTTTATTTTCTGAGACCCTAGAAAGGAAATATAAGCAACTGCTTCATTCTTACACTAACAGTCTGGCTTTGGCAGAAGCAGATTCACTATTTTTTAAATATGATGGACTTTTCAAAAATTAAATAGAAAAAAAGGTAAGGCAAAACAGCTTTAGCCTCGTTGTTGAAGAATTTTATTCATGGACCAGATGTGGTGGCACACATCTTTGATCCCAGCACTTGGGAGGCAGAGGCAGATGGTTCTCTCTGAGTTCAAGGCCAACCTGGTCTACAAAAGTGAGTCTAGGACAGCCAGAGCTATACAGAGAAACCCTGTCTCAAAAAACCAAAAAAGAGAAAGAAAAAAGAATATTATTTCATTGATTTCAGCTGAAATTTAAGCCTTACATTGCCTTATGCTTTATTTGTTTATAGTCTTTTTATATATCTATATAAATGAGGGTTAATTGTTTTGAGTACTATGTAGAGTTTTATCTCTGGCCCATCTCATACTCTGCCAGTATCATTTAGTACATTTTATTTCTCTAACACTTTCTCCTGGTGTGCAAAACTTAGTTCTCTTAAAGAGTGGCATTGCCCAGTAGCTTGCCCTCTGGCCCACAGGGCTCTCGTGCTGTTGGTCAGGAGGGCTGAGAGAAGAAAATAAGCCTCTATCTTTAGCACCTAAATGGGATGTATCTTGTTGCTTTACTGACAGTGGGCAGGGCTCTCATCCTTAGTTTCTGCCTGTCTGCCCATTACACAAAGAATAAATAAAAAGTAGAACCAACCCTGCAGGTCACGAAGGGATATGGTTTTGGTTCAGCCAGAACTCTGTTGTCATCTTTTCTCAGGAGCTACAAAGATTTTTTTTTTTTTTTTAAGTTCCCTCCTTCTGCCTCCAGTTGCCACATTCTGCAGCCTCTCAAAACCAGGTCCCTTCATGTAGGAGGCATGGTCTGGAGAGAGGGTCAGCACTGTGCCTTAATGGCTCTTAGCAGGGCAAAACTTTATCTGTTCTGTGCATTCTCTGCACTCCTGGGGTGAAGTGGGGTCTGTCCATTTAGGTGTCTGGTTTGATACAATGTGATGTATCTTTTGATTATCAAGTACCCTGGGTTTTTTTGGACACTCTTAGAATACTGTACCACACAAAGCAAGGAACAGCAAGGAACTGGGGAGCTGAGGAAGAGCACTCCTTGGTGTATTCTTTTCCAGGGTTAAAAACAACAGCTGTATGAAGGCGCAGGTTATAGGAGTGCAAGTCACTGATTATCTTCCTACAAAGAATAACAGGCAACTTTTCAATAAAGCGCTCCTTTGGAGGAAAATCCACATTGATTTGTTTGGTGTGTCTTTTAGGATCATGACAAAAGATTGGGAACACATGATTCCTTGCTTTGAATGGGGTCAGGCAGGAGACAATCATACAAATTACAAGTCTTTGGTGTACATATAAAGGGAGGGAATTGTGTAGAAGCTGCATCTCTAAATAAGATCAAGGATGAATGTCGGGCATGTGGTTCAGGGGCCTACAGTCCATTATCAAGAGTGGCTCCACTGAAGGGGCCTTTTTGTCCCTGTGATCATCTAGCTGTGCTGCCTTTTGCTGTGAGGCTGTGCCAGGAGCTCACTTGGCAGAACTGGGCATTGGGAAGATCATCTTAAGTCCCACTAAGGCAAGACTCACTCCATGGTACAACAACCCTTAGGAGGTATGATCTTTTTTTTTTTTTTTTTTTAGGAGGTATGATCTTATTCTGCAGGTGAGGTGCCATATGAAATGATGAGTAGTTGAAGACCCTTATGTGCTTAGTGAACAGGATAAGCTGGAGTTGTTGGCCAGATCAGAAGGGCTAAGTGGTATGGGTGGGATAGGGATTGACCCTTGAACTGGGCAAGTCTAGAAAGCAGGGCAGCAACTGGATCTTCACTAGAAATTCAGTATTTACTCTAGGTTATATTGGAAGACAGCCCATTGTCCTTCAGTCATTAAGCAGCTACTATAAATGATCTGTGGGTGCATGATTGTCTTTATGGACCCAATCCTCAGCAGGTGCATTTGTTGAAGATATGTCCCTCTTAGCAACTTCAGTTCTAGTAAAATGAGGTGTGATACAGGTTTCTAAAAGCATTGTGGACTGGAGCAAGTTGAGTAGGTAGAGCCAGGGCATATTTGAGGGGCTTGTACTGGGGAAGATCAGCTGTACCTGAAGACTCAGATTGAGGAGGTGGAAACTGTCTTACTCAGATAAAGCATCAAAGACAACCCTGAAAACCTCACATTCCTAACTACTGCCAGAATTTTTGTCATACAGTCTCTTAAAAGTTGGCTTACTAGCTTGGCATAGTGGCACACACCTTCAATCCCAGCATTTAGACAGGTAGAGAGTTCCAAGAGAGCCAGGCCTACAAAGAGAAACCCTGCCTTAACAAAAATAAAGAATATTGGCTTGCTTATTTGTGAACATTTGAAATGTGGTTTTTTAATGTATGCTTTTGCAGAGTTTACAGTGAAGAGCTATCACAAGCATTATCTGTGTTTTGTAGCCATTTTCCCCTACAGTTATTTTGTATATACTTTAATGGATATATTGTATTTGGATGTGCTTATTTGTACAATTGGGCAGTTTTCCATTTTCACTATTACAAGGTTTTTCTCTCTCTGTTGTTTTGTTTTTCAAGACAGGGTTTCTCTGTGTAGCCCTGGCTATCCTGGAACTTGTTCTATAGACCAGGCTGGCCTCGAACTCACAGAGAGCCACCTGTCTTTGCCTCCCAAGTGCTGGGAATAAAGGTGTGTGCTACCACACCCTGGCCACTTTCATTGTTATAAATGATACTACTATAAGCATCTTAATATGTAAAATTTATATATTTGGGACATTAGGGGAAATTCTAGATCTGTAGGGATTCACTTAAGGCCTGATTAATTTGTCTTGCTGTTCCTAACACAGATAGCTTCATAGTTTCCATCTTTAGTTAGTTCCCAGATCCATCTCACTATATCTTCCAACTGGAATCTTCTCACTCATGTTCTACCTCTCAAAGGGTATCATTATATAGCCCTTACCTCAGACTCAAGAGCCTTGTCTCTGGCAGGACGGCAGCCGTGTGTAACTGCACCTGGCCTTTCTGCTTATTGATTTTCACTGCTTTTTTTTGCTACTTGCTTGATGTTGCACAGCTTACTAAATTTCTTGAGCTATCTGCTGCTGACAGTCTGGGCCTAGAAAGTGTCAATTCAGATTTGGCCAGAATGCAGAATGGTATAAGATAATAGGAGAAGACATCCAGTTGGCTGAGATGAGCAGACTTTATGCAAAAGATTGGAATTTACTTAGGGCCTTACAGGAGGCCTTAAGTATTATCTGCTTTGATTCTGAAAGCTCACTTGAAAACAGTCAGCAGTAGTGGCACACATACCTTGTTGGTAACCAACAGCTCTCAAATTGAGTTTAAGGCTTGCTCAGTCAGACGGGAATTGTGCCTGATGCTGGAAACCTAGGCAACTACCGGGGACAAGTGATGTCATGGATCACTTTACTAAACCATCATAATCCTTAATTACATCCTAAATATTTATCCTTATATCTATAGATAAGTGTAATTCTCAGTCTTCATCAAAGAAACCCCTTTTCAACAGATGGAGATCATTACAGAAAACTGAAACTTATCAGCTAAGACTCAGGGATCATTTCGAAAGAGGGGAAGGTAAAATTGTAAAATTGTAAGAACCGGAAGACCAGGAAGTTTGCTCTAAGATTGTGTCACTTAGAAATGTCAGAGAAGCTACATCCATGAAGTCTAACTAACACAGCTGCCTAAATGTGACCTGAACAAGGACAAAATCAGCACACATGCTAATGTATAAGGAAAAAAGCCCACAAGGCCTCAACCCTAGACAAAGAAATACAGGTCACCAAGGAATTCTGAGAGCTGGAGAAGTCATCTTTCCTAGGGAAGAGCATAGCGATTGGTTATCCCATACCAAATGGCCAACCTTTAAAGCATATGCATACAATAACAGACCGAGTAAGTTGTATTTATATATTTTAGGGATTATATATGTAATAAAAAGAGGCCATGAATTTTGAAAGTATGTGAACATGAGAGGGTTGGAGAGAGGAAGGGGGAATTATGTAATGATAATCTTAAAAAAAATTATGATAAAAGAGAAAATGGCCAATAGGCAAGAATGAAAGAGAAGCTAAGCTGTGGGAGCACTGGCCGCAAAGACTATTTTGGTAGCCCTGGAATCAGGTGTCTGCCTGAAAACACAGTAGCACTTGAAATGGTAGGGTTGTTTCATGGGTAATAGGCAAGTAAATGAAAAGAATGAACACAGATCATGTGAGATAGAGCGGGAGGCAAAGTCCTTCTCCGGCTCCGCACATCATTGCAGGTGATTCATAGAGGATCGCTAACTAATGGCGGCTGGTTTTTCAGTGACTGGGGAGGCAGGCAGGAAAGAAGTCCTTTCTGGGTGGTCTCTAGAGATGAACAAAAATGTCAGCCCCACAGCAGTGTCTTGAGATGAAATGAAGGTCTCCCTCTCCAGTTTTTTGGTAAAGAGTAGTAAATTTTCTGAGGCACTGAACAAACTCAACTGCAAGACAAAAAGCCCATTTACTCGGTGGAGCGCTACTGGCCTGCTTTCCAGGCACTGGAGTCACCTCTGATGGCCCGACCCTCACGCCCAAGCCTTGCCCCCGCTCGGTGGTTGTGGCTTCCGCTTAGTATCTACAGGCTCCGCCCAAAATTCTAACCTTTTCCATTGCTCGTCAACTGGGGCACCGCCTCTCGTGGGCCGAGTTCCACGGAAGCTAGGAAGCTCGGGAGCCTCGGCGCTGCATTACTACATAGGCTCCAGCTGGGGCGGAGCCTCAGCGTGGCGCTCTGCGCGCTTGCGCAGCCGGCTCTGACCCGCCAGAGCGCACACGTCCTTCCGGGGGTGCGCGTGCCAGTGCGTGAGCGTGCGCGCTCTTGCTGCCGCCGGTGTTGCTTCCGCCGTCCTCTGCCTCTGCCACCGCTGTGGAGGTCCGGGATCCTCAGGCCGAGCAGTAGGACGGCCGGCTGCCCAGCAGCGCCGCGGTACGGAAGCGGAGCCGCGGAACCGGTGGACGGGCGGGCGTGCCGACGGGTGAGCTCCCTCTCGGGCGGCCCTCAAATTAGGCGGGGCAGCGGAGTCGGGGCCGCGGGAGCCGGGCGGAGGGAGGGGAGCGGCTTGAGGGCGCCGCAGAACGAGGTGAAAGCTGCCCGCAGCCGGAAATGGCGGCGACCTTTTCCAGCGGCGGCGAGCCGGGCCGTGGGCGCAGCTAGGCCCCGCTCGACCTTGCTCCTGGCGGGGCGGCGCGGGGACGAGGCTTTCCGGGCCAACCCGGGGTCGCACGCGCGGCCGCCTCGGTGGCTCCCGGAACGCAGAAACTCTGGTGTTGGGAGGCAGGCAGTGAAGGCTTTGAGGCTTCTTCACAGCCTGGGGCGCGGAAAATTGTCCTGTAGTTGCAATCTCCAAAGCATTTAATGTATTAAAAAAAAAACTATTTTATTTGCCTCACAGTGACATATTAAGAAGCGCTTTGTGTCGGGTTGTTTAGGGAGAGTATTAGCCGTTCAGTCTCCAACTTGTGTTATGTGGCTGGATTAAAAACTTGTTTTTCCTTGTACCTAGGAGATGATTTCTCCGAATTCATTAGGTGTGTCTTCGGAAAAATAATGCAGAAGGTAGCTTTATTTTGTTTTCAGGGTGGACTTTGGGTAAATTGGGTCGCCATTTGTTGGACACACACATCCCTCATTGGCAGTGTGTCTGAATTGCTAGTGATTTGTCTGTTTAAAAAACAAAACACTACTTAACATCAAAAAGAATTATGTTAACCTGTCTGTTGTCATGGTTGCCTAAAGGCAAAACTGTAATCGTAGGATAATTTTGTTCATTTATTTGCTTCCTTTAAGTGATCTGTTGGGTGACATTAAATGCTTCTGGACAGTTTCTAAGCTAATGTGTTATGATTATGTTACTTTACCAGTGTTTTCACGCTTAGGCTGGGCCCTGTCTGTGTAGACCTCAGATATGGAGCCAGTGTGGGCTCTAAATGCAGACTATTTGGGGAAGGGGTGGCCTGTCCTTGGAGACCCTGCCTCACACTTCTTGGCCCAGCAGCCTCCTTGCTAGGTCTCTTAACAAATTCAAGTCCTTGGTCCTTGATTCATTCTTGAACACTCACTTGTCCTGTTCTGTGAGATATTCCGTGTTTCTACAACTCTATCTACTATAGCTCTAGGCTGCTGTTTACTATTCAGCTCTTTACTTCCTATTTTTCTCCCTTCCTTGCTTAATTTTTGTACAACAAGCACTTGACTCTTGCGTAATATATTAACGTATTTAAAACGTATTTAACATTATTTTCTAGTTACGGTTTTCATTTGTTTTTTTGGAATGATCACATAGTATGTGCCCAGTAAATATTTGTTGAATGAATGGAAATAAGCTTAGTAGCAGTTGGGCTCTTTATTGCCTTCTCACCAGGAAGTCAGTACTAAGCATTTCAGAGACACCTGGTTCCTAGGAGGTAAACAGGGAACCTTGTATCCCCAAGGACAGAGCCACCAGCTGTCCCCTGCCCATTTTGAAAAAGGGACAGTAAATTAAGAAGGTATTATGAAGATGCTTAGGACTTCTCTGTAAATCTCTTTGTAACTTTTTTTTTTCTGAGGGGGCCTGTGTTGGTTGTGGTTCTCTGTGTAACCCTCCCTTGCTGTCCTGGAACTCACTTGTAGACCAGGCTGGCCTTGAACTCACAGAGATCCACCTTCCTTTTCCTCCCAAGTGCTGGAATTAGAGGCATGCACTACCATCACCCAGATCTTTGCAACTTTTATCAATGATTATTTCAAATTTAAGTTTTTTTAAAGTGAGATATGCCACTAGTTTAAAAAAAAAAGGTTCTTAGAAATTTTGTCTTTAGTTACTTGTCTGTCAGGGTTAGAGGTGACAGTGAGATGAAGTCATCTGATTCTTTAGTTATTGTGAAGAGGTGTTTTGTTTTTGTGAACAGGATCTTGCTATATAGCTGAAGCTAACCTGCAACTCTTGATCCTCCTGCTTCAACCTGGAATCATTGGCTTTTACCACCACACCTTGCTTAATAGTGAGCAGTTCCTGATGCCCTTAGCTGGAAGCTCATTATGTACTGTGCTGTGACAACCCAGTAGAGACTTCTTAGTGACTGAAGGACTCTAGAGTTCTCTCTAAGGCCTTTGCCTCCTGTCCATCTAGATTTCTCTATAATCTTTCATTTTTTAAACTATAGGAATGCTTTGTTTTTATGTACACCTACATCTCAGGAGCGTGCATCTGATCCCTTTATAAATGGTTGTGAGCCACCATATGGTTGCTAGGAATTAAACTCAGGACCTCTGGAAGAGCAGCCAGTATTCTCAACTGGTTGAGGCATCCTACCAGCCTGATTCCTCTGGATTCTTGAGAACAAGTCTGTTAGTGTGAGTCAGTGCTGGATGCATACTGCACAGTTCTACCCACTTTTACACAAGAGCATTTTAGACAGAGTAGTGCTTCTGGGTACAGTTGTACACCTACCCTGATAACCTGCTTTGCTCAAGATCTAACTTAATGAATCAGACTTAGAACTTCAATTGAACACTTCTAAGCCTGGTTTCTTCTATTTGTTGACCACCTGTAGCTTATGGTATCCCATGATCTGCCAGAATTGTGTCTTTAAGGCTCAGGTACATGAATAAGTAAAATGCAGTGATGCTGGGGCTTATGATAAGGAGTTTTATCTTAGAAATACGCTTCTGAAATCAGAGAGTGAGGTGTGGGATTTGAAGTATGTAATACTGTGAGCAAACTATTAGCAAATGAAAGGTTATTCTCTAGTATGGAAATAAACTGAGATTTTAGGGAATTGGCTAGGAGCTGTTGGAATGGAAATGAAGTGCAAGCATCAGTTCTGCACATGAGGACCTCTGGTGATTCTTTGTGACTGCTGGAAGTTTACAGGTATTAAGCATTTAAAGATGTAGTACTCAGGGCTGAAGGTGCAGATCAGAGGAGAGTGGTTGTCTAGTATGTGCCAAGCCATGGATTTAAGCTCTACACCTGAAAGAAAAAGTAAAAAGTTGTACTCCAAAATGAAGCTTATTATTCTGTGCTATAGAATCTGAGTGATGCATTTAAGGCCTTTTGTCAGGCAAAGTTCCCGCTATTTTGCTGTCCTTGCCTCCATCTGTGCATCGGCAGAATCTGCTAGACTCTCCTTTCTGAAAGAGGACAAGGCTAGAGCTCACACCACCATGTGCCTTCTGTCTCTGGGCCTCTTTACTCTATAAAATGAGGGAAATTGTTCCCATCTTACCTGCCTGTTACAGAATCAGAGAAAGGATAAGTGCTAGGTATTTTACTGATAGCTTCCTAAATAGAAGTGACAAAGATGCTAAAAATGGTGATAGCCTTATTTTGTGAAAAACCTACTCATAAAACATCCTTAATCTTGGAGTCTGGGCTGCTGTGCCAGGCCTGCCTCTGATGATGGATTAGCAGCTAATCTTTTAACTGGCAACTAAACAGGAAGATTTAAGGATTAGATTACCCAACAACCTTTAGTTTGGATTTTGCTCCTCCTGACACTTTGCATTAACTTGAGTACATTTATTAATGAAAAATTTATGTTCTTCAGTCTCTATACATAGTATTTAATAGGTTTATTAGTTAGGGTTTTATTGCTGTGAAGAGACACCATGACACGGGAACTCTTACAAAGGAAACATTTCATTGGGGCTGGCTTACAGTTTCAGAGGTTTAGACTATTATAGTCATGGTATGAAACATGGCAACACACGGGAAGACATGGTGTTGGAGAGGGAGCAGAGAGTTTTACATCAAGGAGAGACTGCTGTACTGGGCGTAGCTTGAGCATTTGAGACCTCTAAGCCCTGCCCCACAGTGACACACTTCAACAAGGCCACGCCTCCTAATACTGCCACTCCCTGTGGGCCAAGCATTAAAATACATGAGTCTATGGGACCATACCTAGGTTTTGTTTTGTTTTTAATTTGGGGTTTGTGTTGTATAAGGCATGGTGCATGCACTGCATGTGTGAACTATGTACTCTCCTGTGAGGCCAGAACAGAATGTTGTGTCTTCCTCTGTGGATCTTTCTTATTATCTTGAGTCAGGGCCTCTCAGTGACCCAGAAGCTCCCTCAGGGTCTGGCTGGTAAGTTTATAGAATGTTTGACTTTGCCCCCAGTGCTGGGGTTACAGGTACACAAAGCTATGCCAGACTTTTGAAGTAGTTCCCAGGGATTTAAATACGACTTCATGCTTGCAGAATAAGTGCACTGAACCATCCTAGCCCTCAATATAGGTTTTTACAAATAAGAATTCTTAAGATTTTGAGTTTTACAAACATTGATATTTATATCAAAATTACAGAAACAAAGTATCATATTTTTTTAGAAAAAAAAAAAAAGACAGCTGGTTGTGGTAACTCAGCCTTTGGTCCCAGGAGAAGGACTTGGATCTTCGTAAGTTTGAGGCCAGTCTGGTCTATAAAGCAGGTTCCAGGACAGCCAGAGCTACACAGCTGTTACACAGAGAAGCCTTGTCACAAAAAACAGTGAGGCCAGATTTGGGGGAAATTTGAAATTTTCTTCCATGATCAGTTTTCCTCTCCACTGATCTGTATGTTATGTCCTACTCCCTTCAGCGGGGCAGGTAGGGCCTGGATGGTCCTTGGACATGGCTTCTGTCTGAAGTTTTTCCTTTTGCCCCTTACTGCTGAATGCCATGCCGGATGTCTGGAGCAGACAAGATCAAAGGTCCCGGGTCTCCCAGAAATGGCTAGAGTGCTTTAGGTGGAGACCCAGGTCCTAGGCCAGAGTTTTCCATTTTACAATTAGCTCTTTTAAATGAGATTGCTGGTATCAGAGATAGTGGAAATTCTCGAGTTTCAGAAGCCAGTGATGATACCAGAATGTTAGACCTCCTTGATTTAGTTGCTGTGGTAGGCACAGCAGAGGATGCGGGCGGAAGCCTGAAACTGATCAGGAGGAGGTGAGATGCAGGTCAACAGCTGCTGAGGCAGTGCTGCAAGCCAGAGAATGTTGGAGGCTTGACGCA